CCCCCACACCTTGATGCTCATGACAAGAATAGCATGTATAGTTATCTTTATTGAAGTGATTTAGGTTTAAATCGCCGTCATGCATGAATGAATGATATTTTTGCAATTTAACACATAATAATCCACGATGATCACATTACACAAAACTGAAATTGCACGTCAAAATAACACATTGTCAATATTTTTTGAGACCCCCCAAAATTTCACAAATCACGTTTTCAGGGGAGCCCATGTCTTATTAAGGGGAGCTGAGCTCCCCCTAGCTCCCCCGTAGTTCGCACCCTGTTTGTGAGTGTAAAAAAAGAGTCAGATCTGTAGTAATGCCTGCATGTTGCCCTCTAACTCAAAGCTATTGTATATAACAGTAAACACACTTGTAATGAGTAATTTGAGTCCTCACCCCATATACATGTTTGGCTCCTGCCTTGGCAGCAAACATGGAGAGGATTCCGGTTCCGCTGCCCACATCTAGAACTATCTTATCCTTAAAGATGTGTTTATTGTGGTACATGGAGTTCCTATAGGTCAGTGTCCTCACCTCATCCTTTAGCATTTCCTATTGAGAGAGGAAAAAAACTACTTTTAGTCAGACTGATGCAATTAGTTTTAAAATTGACCCTAAAATATTTGATCAGTAGAGTATGGCTGTACATATTTTACTGGTGCAGGTTTGAGAATTTGAGTCCATGACTTTTATTCCTCGTTTCCTCACCTTTTCTTTTTGACTGGGCTGTGGAGGACAATATATAGGGCACAAAGCGTAATGTCTCCAGGATTCTTTTTATAGAGACAGGTCTCCATTTAGCCTGCTGGGATTAACTGATGCACATCTTTCCAACCCCCCCAAACCCCCCTCCCTCCCTCCACTCTAATTCTCTCTCCTTTTCTTTCTCCCTTTCTCCATCTTGTTATCTTACTCTCATCCTTCTTTTTCCTGTTATCAAGAACTGTGTCAACAGTTTGACCCTCATGCTCTAAATATGCCGGTATCAAAGGTGTTCTCTCAGTTCTTCTTGAATGAGGTTAGAAGGTGTTTTTTTAAGTTCTTACAATCGGCTGCATGTGATAAAAGTTCTATAGCAGAAACAATTTTCTGATATTTTTCTACCTTAAAGCAACAGAGAGGAACAATATAAAAACACACTTTCATCTTAGGTTAGACTAGCATACTTCACTATGCTTGATGGACTCCAGTTACCTCATGAATACCAAAGTGGGCATAGGAGTCAAAGTAGTAGTCCCGTGATGTCATCTCTTCCGGGTTGAGTAGCTTGGCCATCTTGCCTCGGCCCGGACAGGCAGAAAGCGCGGAGACATGCGGCGTGTGTGGAGGATGAGGAACATGATGAACGGACGTCACTGGCTTTGGTAGCGGAGATGGTTGTAAGGACTTGGATGAGGGAGCACTGGAAATATGCTGCTGCTGCTGGCGCTGCTGGTCAAGACAATAGTATAATAATAGGCTCACTGTCATACATCACCACTTACTGGACGCATTTGCCAGACAGTTTTATCTAAAATAACTCTTACTCCGACTTTAATCAGTTTGTGCACTCTTTGGGAATCAAACCCATGACCTTGGTGTTGTTGCACTGAGGGATTTTTTTCTGCAAATGTTTTTTAAGTTAGATTTTTTTCAAGGTATCATTCAATGTGATATGTAGATAGATGGATGGATGGATGGATGGATGGATAGATAGATAGATAGATAGATAGATAGATAGATAGATAGATAGATAGATTCGGATTTGTACATAGATTTTTTTATATGAAATAAATAAATAAACATGCCAAAAAAGCAATTAAAAATAGACAGTGTTCTAAAAAATATGTGTGAAAAACAGTTAATGAAGCAGATGGACAAAAGGTACCTTTTTCTGCAAATGTTTTTTTTCAAGATAGATAGATAGATAGATAGATGGATAGAACAAAGGTCAAAAGCAATTGAGAAGAAAAATTAGACAATTTTGTAAAAACTGAAAACAATTAACAAAGCAGATGGAATGGGGGCACTTTTATGTCTTGTGATTTTTCTTCACCTTGCTATTCAGGGCTTGTGTTATTTAGTGACCTAATAACAAACGTCAACATTAAAATCAGGTATGCAAAGGTGAATATGCTAATTAGCTGGGGAGGGGGGCAAAATACTGCAGCACCAAGGACAGCGCTCAGCCGTCTCGCGATGACCCAATAGACTACATAAAAGAGCAATGACTGCTCAATTCAGCAAGCACACGACTTGATCGTCTTATTTTATCGTTTAGGTACAAAATTATAGGATAATTTGTTGCCTTTGAGGTTTCATCTGATGTCTGACTGCCTAATCTTTACGCAACCTAAATATTAATATAAACCTCTCTATTTAGCGTTCGGTGTGGTCTGTGGGATCGATTTCAGGACGTTATTCCGTGAATTGGACTATTCTGCTCTGCTCGGATCGCGGTGGTTATTAGTCTGCATAGTCCTACACATCACCGGGCACTGATTTGTATGACCTCCAAACCAGCGCGTCATTTTACGCAATCATGCACTTAAACACACACAAGCGACTAGAATGAATCTCAAGCGATTTAGAAGTAGATATACGAATGTTCGGACGAGCATTGATGTATTATAAATGACTTAAGGAATCTTTGACTTACCTCCGAGCTCTCCGCCTCCGCCATCTTTCTCCGCAGGAGCAGGCACCGCGATGAGTGCCTCAGTCCCATACGAGCCAACGGGATCCGGATTAACTCGATAAGGGCAAGTGTTGTCACTAAATGTACTAGAAAAGTTTTAAAACGTAATTCAATAAGCAATACTAGGTTTGCGCTTTAAAACGGCCCATTTGTTAATTCGCACAGCTGTTTTTAATAAACAATAAATGCCTAAATAGAAACTAATATTGAAATTGTCATGATGACTTAGTGGATAGTCCCTCAATTCCATGATTCTGATTCCTACTGAAAGCCAATCGTGTAAAAGTTCTTCCACAGTTTCTAAGCGCCGCTTGGAGACCAGTTGAGCCCCGACGCGTCAGCCTCCACATCACCTGCCGCTGCGCATCGCCGCGCTACATGGAGTCTGACAGATCAGAATGCATCTTTTATTTCAGTTTAACATGTTAATCCATTATTTCTCAGTTCATAACATGTCGTCGGATCCTAGTTGGCCAATTCGTCGCGTTGCGGTCAGTCAAGTGCGTCTGGATCACGCTGAAAGTTGGAGTTGAAAGACTGTGCTGACTGAACTCGAGCGCAGCGAGTGCAGAATGGAGCGATATCAGTAGCTGAATTAGTGCCTCCCACACAAGTATCGCACCTCCACTTTCTCTAAATAAAGGACACAAGGCCGATTACGTTTTAGTCCATTTCAAGGCTGAACCTTTTCAGACAAGCATGTATAATTTTTCATTTACAGACGCTTTTATTCAAAGTGATTGCACTGCAATCAAAGTATAGGCTACATCTTATCCGTTCATTCCCTGGGAATCGAACCCATGACCTCGGAGTTTCTAACGCCATTTACGTCCTGTCTGGACTTTTAGGCTAAATATTTCACAAAAATACGTATAGTGAAATAGCAGGTTGATAGTTTTAAGATTTTAAGAATTTCCTTGCCTGAATTTCCTTTCAGCAAAATTTCAACTTAAAAACTTGTATAAAATGTTTATGAAATGTATATTGCATTACTTACAGTATGTTGGGTATGCCAGAGACTCCAGATATAAAACATAACTAAATGCAACGAACTTTTAAGACTTTAGAATGCTAATATTGACACTTGATCAACAACATTTTTAACATTTTATTTTCAATGTTCTTATTTGAATCTGCAACAAAAAAAAAAAAGACTGCAGCACACAAGACCGACCCCATAAATATATATAAAAACATTTTACTAAATCTTTTTTCTTTGCATTTATTTATGGTTAGCACAGAAGAAACTTTACCAGCAGCTGTTGCCTGTGCCGATCTAAGCCCACAGTGGAGCGAGTTCACATGTGTCTGTATACAAAGAGAGGTGAGGGATTCTAGATTTGGAGTCGAACGGCTCCATGTTTTTACATGCCACCCACTCATCTGCTTCTGTAATCCCTGGAGCTAATGTGGGAGGAAGTCCTGGCCAGAACATATACTCTTTCTCTTCCTGTCACACACACAAACATACACTTTTACATACTTAATGAGTTTAAAGATCAATATCCTCTCCAAATATCCAAAAAAAATAATAAAAAAAAAAAAATTTTCAGCACTGAAAATGTCAACACAGTAAACAAACTCGATCAGTGCTGATTTCAGAACACTCACAGTAATGGAGCTCATGGTGTGATCTACTAGACCGAAATAAAGGTACGGTCTATTGTATCTTGCTGAGAGGACTTCCAACACATGGGCTGCTCATGTATAACACTGAAGGACGGATGCCCACGCATGCTGAGTAATACCACACACGCACACAGCACCACAACACCATACACTGTCAATCACACACACACACACACACACACACATTCATGCACGCTTAAAACACATACAGGAGAAAATGTGGGCAGCAAACAGCAAAACACTAATTATTTTTTTAATTTCCAGAAACCCGTTTCTGGCATTGAGACTGTTTGCGTCAAGTAAGTATCCATTAATCGCACATATTTTTTTCTTTCAGTTGTGTTATCTTGCTCATAAAGGAATAGTTCACACCCCAACCCCCCCCCCCCCAAAAAAAATCAGGGCATCCAAGATGTAGATGAGTTTGTTTCTTCATCTGAACATACTTGGAGAAATTTAGCACTACATCACTTCCTCACCAATGGATCCTCTGCAGTGAATGGGTGCCGTCAGAATGAGAGTCCAATAAACTGATAGAAACACCACAATAATCCACAACTAATGCAAATAATCCACAAACTGCTTGTTTGTACTAAACAAGTCCATCATTAAGACATTTGTCCTCTGCATAATATTGCTTTCTGTAGTGAAAAAGTCATCTCTTATGAATCAATGAGGACAACAGTCATCCCGACTGTTTCACTGGTGGAAGCATTATTATGGATTACTGACTGGTATTTATTTTGGCCAGAAGCGAAGTTAAAATGCCTAAATGATGGAGGTATTTCTTACAAATCTGCAGCTTTTCGCTTCACAAATCATTATTTGATGGACTGGAGTCGTGTGGATTACTTGTAGATTGTTGTGATGTGTTTATCAACTGTTTGAACTCTCATTCTGACGGCAACCATTCACTGCGATGCAAAATTTCTCCAAATCTGTTCTGATGGAGAAATAATCTACATCTTGGATGGCCTGAGGATGTGTGCATTTTCAGCAAATGTTTATTTTTGGGTGAACTACTCCTTTAAGAAATGACCAAACAGAAACAGTTTGCTTTTTGGTTGAATGTCTTTATCTGTGTGTAGAAGTGGTCTTGAAACAGAAGGATCGTCCTCGGCCTTGCAGTCGGTCTGCTAAATGAAAGCCTTTTCTGAAACTTCATGGAGGAAGTGTGTGCAGTTACATTTATGGTCTGTGAGTCAGTAGGTTTCTTTTGTCCTTTTCTTGGTCCTTTTCACTATCCCTGAAGGCCGTTTTCATGTGTCCATTCACACATATACACACAAACCATGAAGGTGCCATTTAATAGCTTAGAACTGAGGACGACATGAGGACACAACAATGAAATAACAGGCGAGCGGCAGACAAAACCAGACAGAACCAGACGGGAATCACAATGAGACAAATTCAAAAGGACAAACATCAGTTCAATAGGCTGAGCTCCTTTTCAAAGTTCTCTGGCATCTGCTGCATTGTTAATGTCATCCTTTCTTGCCATCTTCCCGATGTTTGTATGTTTGTTGTCCCTCATGTCACCGCTTGTACCTGGATTTCCAGCTGATTTGACTCAGATTTGATTCCCAGAATGAAAACTTTGCAGTCTATTGTCGATCAACAGATGAAATCTGGAAAGATCTGGAAAAAACATATAGAAGATGCAGAACTCTAATCTCAAATTCAATGCGCTTTTGTTTGTGTTCATTTCCATTAGGAGCCCTAACAGAGCCAGAATACAGATTAGCAATGACATTTCGCACTTTAAATGGTTTCTTCGCTCTCTCAGTAGACTCTTTCCATTAATTCAGACATGATGGATAACATTTTCCTCTCTAATGCTGTTTCAGATGGAAAACTGTGTCACAGACAGGTGACTGCGGCTTATATCCGCTGCCTATGGCTGCCTATGTTCTCCTAATGGGGTTTTGACTTTATTAGGTTACCAGGATTGAGGTTTGAAAGAGAAGGGCACACAGAGGAACTTCTGTGCACAAAAGGGCAGAGAGAACAACTGAGGCTGGTGTTTGAGATCAAATGGAGAGTCAACAGAAAGTCAAGCTGCGTGCATTGAGAAACTGTCAGGATTATTTCCATAATGTGAAAGATTCTGTGAATGTGAATTATTGAAGTCCATTGGGAATCATATTTTACATTGTCCCTGCCTTGTCCTTGCTTTCATCTTGGGGACATTGACAGATGTAGGTACTTTATATAATTAAAAGTACCTTTATGACAAATCTGTACTTTCTCAAAACTAGCATAATGAAAATAATGTTATAAACATAAAAAAATAACACATATGCAACATTAAAAAAGATGTAAATTATTACTAAAATAAGAAACATGTTTGCAACAAATGTTTGCATAGGGAATGCCCATTTCCCCATGAATTATAATATGATTTTGACTCATATAATATGACATGGTTAAAATATAATATGAATAAAATATAATAATAAATATAAGATATCAAATATAATATACATTTTCTCCATTTTATATGGTAATCCCTATTTTAATTAATTACTAATAATTCATACTACAATTTATTTTGCTTGTTCCACAGCTAGCCATATTTTAGCCATGTTCAAATTTTTCACAATGAAAATGTATCTATATTTATTTATGCTGATTGCATTTTGAAAATATGAATTTATTATTCAACAAATTCACATTCACATGAATTTTACAAATTCAACCCCAGGAGAGAAAAGAACAGATTTTCTTTTTTCAGAGAATGGGACAAAGCAACTTACTTAAAAGCACTACTAACAGTTATTAGTCCACGAGCAGCCTTTGAAGATGAACAGCTTGCTGTATTTAATCTCATGAAATGAAGGGGCGGGCTGTAGTTGCATTTCCTCCTCACATCCTGCGCTGACCCTCCGATACCCCCGCCGACTAGACACACGCCTCCGGAGCAACAAGCCTCACTGGGGAAAACGAGCTTTATCTGCTGTTAAGGTAAGTGTAAACACGCTATGTTTTCTCTTTGTGCGATGGAAAGGGACATTGGTGTTTGTCCCAAACGCGACATAAGAGCAGGTGGTTCTAGAAAAAATAAAGTGTGCATCACACCATGCAGTTTTATTTTGTTTACGTTCATGAGTGCGGAAAGTGTCGCAGGATCAACGCAACTGAGAAACCTGGATGCGTTTTGCGGTAAACTATAAGGCCAAAGTCCGGGGGAGGAAAGAAAGAAACGGCTGCATAACACGTCGTCTTTTTTTTCTCGGGACAACCACCATTGCTTTCGTTGTAGCCTATGTAGTGTGTTGAAGAAGGAAGGGGGATAATAATGTGAACTGAAATAATTAAAATGCTCAGAAGAGTCATTTCTCACGCTATTCACATCGCTCAGAAATGAAAAGCATCCGTGGCTTTTGTTGTTGTTGTTTGTTTTATCTTTTTGAGTCAACGTGTCACTCTCCTGCGAGGAAACCACAGCAAACTCCCCTGAACACACACTGTAAAAAATAAGTGTAATTTTAACTGTAACATTTTGTAAAAATGCTATGGAAAAAAACTGGTGGCTTTTAATGATGAGACCTTTTTTGTAATCAGGCTCTCAAAAAGTATATAACAATTTGGATATAGATTTATCGGCCAACATATCGGTTATCGGCTTTCAAAAATAAAGAATAATCGGTTATCGGTATCGGCCAAAATTTTCATATCGGTGCATCCCTAATTTTAATAGCAGTGTGCATTGTTGAATTTACTGGTTTACATTCAAATTTTCTTGTTCGTAAATTACAGTTTTATACTGTAAAATGTGTTTACAGTTTTACTGTATTTTTTACACAATTATTCTGGCAACCACAGCTGCCAAAATTATTTTGTAAAAACTACGAAATTGTTTTTACAGTGCAGAGAGGTAACACAGCGAAAGTGAAACGCCGTATAAATAGACAAAAGT